TCCCCTACACCCCAGAATGGGGCTCTGCCAGCCCCCCGGCTGGCTCTTGGGCTGGGACTCTCCCCCTCAGAGCCTCACCCCCCTTGCCCCGGCCCAGGGGACACAGACACTCACCGAAAAGGGAGAGCAGAAAATTGAGAGGACCCTCATGAAGGCACAGCCACAAAGCGAGAGGATGAACTACAATGTGGGGTGGGGTTTTTATACTAATAACTCACAAGGCAGAATTGAGAAGGAGCCAATTGCAGCACAGAGTAGACACCTGGCATGACGCCAAGACATGTACACACTGCAGCGAGTGCTGTGTGACTCATTCCGACTTGGAGAGGTGGGGAGGTTCCCTCCCGCGCTCTGGGCAGCAACCCCACTCTAATCTCCAGGTTTCAGAGTAGCAGCCGTGTTAGTCTGTATCCGCAAAAAGAACAGGAGCACTTGTGGCACCTTAGAGACTAATAAATTTATTTGAGCATAAGCTTTCATGGGCTACAGCCCACTTCTTCGGATGCATAGAATGGAACATATAGTGAGGAGATATATATACATACAGAGAACATGAAAAGGTGGGAGTTGCCCTACCAACTCTAAGAGGCTAATAAATTAAGATGAGTTATTATCAGCAGGAGAAAAAAAACCTTCTGTACCGACTCAGAAGAATTCTTTTGCATAGAGACTGTCTGGTTTGGCCAATGTACATGGCAGAGGGGCATTGCTGGCACATGATGGCATATATCACATTGGTAGATGTGCACTTGAATGAGCCCCTGATGGCGTGGCTGATGTGATTAGGTCCTATGAAGGTGTCACTTGAATAGATATGTCTATATCTGCACATCTACCAACATATTATATGCCAGCATGTGCCAGCAATGCCCCTCTGCCATGTACATTGGCCAAACCGGACAGTCTCTACGCAAAAGAATAAATGGACACAAATCTGACATCAGGAATCATAACATTCAAAAACCAGTAGGAGAACACTTCAACCTCTCTAGCCACTCAGTGACAGACTTGAAGGTGGCAATTTTGCTGCAGCTCCGGGTCACTCGGGGATTCTGCACCAAGGGGCTGACTGTGAGCTGCACCCCAGCAAAGCCCTGG